AGTCCTCTGCCAAATATATTAATCATATAGGGAGAAGGTTGAAAGGAGAACTGTTAAACTATACGTAGAACACTAATCCATGGACACAAATACATTAGATATACAAATGCTTTCCTCTGCCCCACCTCCTAAGCAATGATTTGCATTTTTTCATTTTTAGGGCTATTCATTACTTTTTAATTTATGACAATTATTTCAATGAATAACAGCTCATATTTTCTAAGCACTTATTTATGTACTGTTCTACATGCATTGTATCCATTTTTTCAAAGTATATAAAGATAGTTAGCCTTATTTAATAGAAATGGAAACTGAGATTTAGACAGATTAAGGCACATGCCCAAGACCACACAGCTGGTGAATTCTGGTGCTGGCATTTGTATTTAGCTGTGAAACCAGAGATTTTGTTCTTAACCACTGTGCTACTAGAGAGCAGGCCAAGGAAAGAAGTGTCTTGCCATTTTGAGAAAAACTTCATTTCCTTTCAGTGAAGTTAAAAAATTGACTTTTGAGCCCTGGATAGTGAGTGAGCTAACAGAATGTTAAGTGCATTCCTGATATTAGATTGCTAGAGATAACTTTTTGGGTAGAGAGCCAATAAAACAGGCCCACTAAGAAGGAAGAAAACTCCAAAGATCTATTTAAAGGAGATTCAATGAGAATCACTTTGAAAATAGTGAGGCCAAGTGTATCAGTGAAGCACATCAAATACCCATTGTGCTTACAAAAATCAAGATCCAGCTGAAAGAGCTGAGGAGAATTATGGAAGAGCCTCTGTGTGAGCAGGTGGGTGGTGCCGTGATGTGATAAGTTAAGGGGAGAATGTGTTGGAAGGACTGACTCATTCTACTCCCTGCTGCAGCTATTCTGAGTTTAAAGATAAGGTTTAATCATTGAACTCAATTTTCTGTTAAGGTGACTTGTTGAGAGTTGTAGATAATTGCAACTGGATCTCAAGTCTCTGTCAAATAGTCTCTTAAGTGACACTATTCACAGGCTCGTGGATACTCGTGGAGGCCAAAACGTTCCCATTGCAGTTCCAATACCCGCAAAAGATCAGGGGGTTGTTTCGGGTGGCTTTAAGGAGTGTCAGAATTTTGGTGAATTCACCATTGGTCCAATTGCTGGATCTGTGACACTGAGGGCTAGTTTATCATAAGGATAACTTGCACTGGAATTTATTCATGCTATTCAATTGTACAGGGTACTGATTTATAAACCAGAATTCAGTTATTAATTTTAAAACCTCAAATCCTTTTTGGAATGATTTAAAATATAAATAATGGGAGGCTGGCTGAAAATATGGAGAGAACAGATGGTTTAGATTTAGAAACAGACAAAGCTGTTTCTGAGAACTAGTTTAGCTAGATGACCTTGAGCAGCATCTTAACAGCTCTGAGTTGCAGTTTCCTTTGGGAAATGGAGGTGATGTTATGGAATAAGGCTAGTTTGACTCTATAATAGTTGAATGGCAAGGGACATGGTGGAGAGAAGAATTACAGCCTGCTAAAGCTGGCCCCAGCAATCACACATGTATGATCCAATACTCAGGGCCCCAAGAGAAGCAGCTGTCAGGTACAAGTTAAGCTAGGGGGATTATCAGGAGTCTTAATCTGGTGGTTGGACTGTAGGTGTAACAGTAGATCCTTTCCATTTTAAAAACCCTGGACTGTAGTAGTCTTCACCCCATAGTAAAGGATTGTCAAGACAATAAATCGGGGCTTTGATCACATGGCATTGATTTCAGTGTCCAGGTGATGAAAGAAGAATGGCAAAATAAGGCAGTTAACTAGGACAATTTCAGATGGAATTCTGTGCAATGAACTGTCTATCATCATCATCTTCATCATCGTCATCAATATCATCATCATCATTATTGGAGGAGAGTCCCTAACATTTGATCCAATTCTTTCTGTGTTATGTTATCTTTTCTGCCATCTGTACATCTAACTTTGGTTAACCATCAAAAATCAAATCAGGAAGGCAAGGCAGAGTTTCTTAGCATCAGAGTAAAAGATGTTGGATAGTAATGAGGCTTCAGAGGAGTTTTGGAAAGTGCCCCAACTTCATAAGGAGCATCTCTTCCTAGTGCCAGTAAGGTATCAGCTGGGGCCACTTGTATGGTGGATCTAAATAGCATTGGTACTACACTCTCCCCCAGTTTCTCAATCTATAGAAATCACACACCAAGATTTCTCAGAATTTTTTTGTATTTTCAAGGAGATACTTGTTTTTATTTTTTCTTTCCATCCCTTTCCTTTCTTCTTTTTCTTTTTCTTTGGGAATCTCTGTTATACACCACAATGGCAAGATATGAAATCTAGTCCATTCTTCAAGTTTAAAATACACCTACTTAACCCCCAACACATTCTCATATAAAGTGACCATGACCCTGGTTGACCTCGCTAGTGATTTTTGGAAATGAGCAAGAGGAGAGGTTCACACAATAGCATGGGAAAATAAGTATAGTAGAAATTATCTCATCCCTGGAGATTCCATTATTCCTCTCTTCAGCCTCCTTTCTCATTCATCTTTTCCATTTCCTTTTGGGCGTACAAACCCCAAAGGTTTGTCTTTTCTTAGACAAAAGAGTTCTCTTCCACATCAGCTATAATATCTTTTATTGATGTTTATTCCCTCTGCTAAGTTCTCATCTTTCTTAAGGGAACATAAGGCAGTTTTTTGATTACCATTTTCTCTCTAAGAGAAATTCTTATTTGACCAAAAAAGACAGTCAAATAAATTTGATCTTAAGTACTGGTGACCAGGATAGTCTGGTGCTCAAATGATTCAGAATTTCTCTTGAATGATGCTAAGTAAACACTTAGCAGGGTTTTTTAAATAAACCATTTCCCTTATTTTTAACATTTTAAGTAAAAGGTTTTATGAGTCTAATGATAGGCAAGTTTCAAATAGTCAAGTTTAGAAGTGCCTGGGTGACTCAGTCAGTTGACACACTCAGTTTCAGCTCAGGTTGTGATCTAATGGTTCATGAGCTCAAGCCCTGCATCAAGCTCTGTGCTGACAGTTTGGAGCCTGCTTGGGATTCTTTCTCTCCCTCTCTCTCTGCCCCTCCCATGCTCTCTCTCTCTCTCAAAATAAATAAACTTTTAAAAAATTTAGAAAACAGTCAAGTGTAGCTTTCCTTGTGTTTATTGCATTTTCAAGGGAAGTCCGAGCATACAGATTTTACAAGACACTGTGTTCTCATCAGCAATACTTTTGTTGAAATATCTAATAGAATATGATTTTTTTTCTGCAAAGAATCCCACAGGAGATCTGAATCTATTTTAATTTCTTCTTTGTTGGCTCCAGTTTCTGAAAAATACTTTTTAACCATCTGCCTTGATTCCAAGAGTGGCCCTTATATAAAATTGGTGACTCCCTGTACTCTGGCCATTGCTTCCAAGAAGTATTGTGATGGTAACTTTTGTCAAAGTTAATTGTGGCTGCCAGTATAAATTGAGGCACAATTGACAGGAATCCAAGAATTTTGCTTCTGATTTTGTTGTGCAGAAAAAGGTGATTCATTTAACCAAAATTTTTGCTGATTGTGCCAAAAATAGTCTGTCTCTGTGCAAAAGGAAAATTCACTTCTTTAATATTCTTTATTTTAAAACATTTTTGATGTCATTGGTATTTCTAAAGAAAGCAAAGTACGTCAACTTCATGCAGAAAAGTGTAATTCTCAGTTTTCAGGAGGATACTATTTGAAGCATTGTAGTTTTATTCTATTTCTCTTTAGTTTTATCAATTTCTGATTTATTCTTTTTTAAATTTAAATTTTTGCTGGTTAACATGTAGTGCAATATTGGTTTCAGGAGAATTCAGTGAGGAAAATTCACTTTTGGTATATGTTATCATGATAGTAGCCAGCAGTACTTTTTAGAATAAGAGCTACCTTATTCAACCACATTAACAGCAAAATATTCCGGGTATTGAAAACTAGGGAGAAGGAGAGGTGAAAAGGTAAGGAATAAGTAAAATAGCCAGTAGGGTAAAATAAAAGAAAAGTATACTATATTGTACTTCCATGTTCAAGCATAAAACTGACTGACTTTTTATAGAAGTTTTTTCTGACACTTACCTACAAATCTTTTTGGTGATTTAAAATACTGAACATATTTGCATGTAGTTTCCTTTAGTGTTGCCCGGAATTGGGGCACTTGGCTGGAGAAAGTTGATACAATATCACAAAAGAAAAGATAATATGAAACTAAAAATTGCTGAAGCATGTCCCAATAATTTACTGTCAATGAACCAGGGCAAAAATAAACCTTTCTTGACACCACTGTTGTTTTAATGGCACATTCATTCACTGGCTGAAAACTCTGTGGGTCTGTTTATTCTAAAACTCCAGCACATTAAATAGAAGAAGCAATTAACTGTTTGGTGGTCCATAATTCCACTGGTGGATTAACACGGTTAATCATGCATACTTTTCCCACTTCAATTCCTGAAACATTAAAGAAATACCAGGAGTAATAAAATAGCTTCGAAATACACAGCATAATTTAAACAATAATTTCCGTATATAAAATAGATCTCTGCCATTTGTACCAATGATGAGGACACAGCTGTGTTGCATTAGAAGCTATTCTCCAGAGCAGAAATGAACAGAACAAGACCAGATCGTGGGCTGAAGTGGGATGGGGGAAACCTGACTAAGGCAGTAAGGTTGCTTGCTTCTTTCTTCCCCTTGGGAAGGGAAGAGGAGACCAGATCAATGAGTATGTGGCAATTTGGAAGCCCTATCCAGGTGTCACAGCTCTAAGAGATAAGTGTTGTCCACAACCCTTTGGGGAAGCACTCTTCTCAGAGCCAAGTGAAGGTTGTCAGGTTCTTCTTTGGAAGAATGGTGCAAGCTGAAACAAAGAACTATGGGAATAGATATGGGCAGGAAGAAGAAAGACTTAGCTCTCCAAGCCAGCCAGCTGAACCCTCAGGATTAGCCACTAATCCTGCAGAGAGCTAGAGAGCCACAGAAAATCAAGGGTCTTCTGCAGCCAATTTAGACAACTGTAATTTTTCCCATGGGGGCCCAGTGTACAATGGCAGCAAAGAGTAGGCTCCTTGGTAGTATATACAGCCTGTTGATTGTATGGGTTTCCCTAAGGGACTTTGGAGACAACTCTTTCCAATGGGCATTGACATTTGACTTCATGCTATCTCCAATCCAGGCTCCAGACAGGTATGCAAGGTGCTTTGGAAAGCTGCAGGGCACAGTGGCCAGGGCCCACATTGCCGAAGCATCATGTCCGTCTGTACCAAGTCGCAGTACAAGGAACATGTGATTGAGACCCTACATAGGGCCAAGTTCAAGTTCCCTGGCTTCCAGAAGATCCATATTTCTAAGAAATGGGGCTTTACTAAGTTACATGTATATGAATTTGAAGACATGGTGGCTGAAAAGCCATCCCAGATGGCTATGGAGTCAAATACATCCCTAACGATGGCCCCTTGGACAAATGGCAGGTTCTGCATTCATGAAAACCTTGGCACTGCCCTCCCCTGTTCATCCCCAGCAATAAATCTTACTTCTTGTCTGAAACGAGAAAAGTAGGAAAGGAAGAAAAAAAGAAAGGGAGAAAGGGAGGAAGGAAGGAAGGAAGGAAGGAAGGAAGGAAGGAAGGAAGGAAGGAAGGAAGAGAAAGAAAAGAAAGAAAGAAAGAAAGAAAGAAAGAAAGAACGAAAGAAAGAAAGGAAGGAAGGAAGGAAGGAAGGAAGGAAGGAAGGAAGGAAGAGAAAGAAAAGAAAGAAAGAAAGAAAGAAAGAAAGAAAGAAAGAAAGAAAGAAAGAAAGAAAGGAAGGAAGGAAGGAAGGAAGGAAGGAAGGAAGGAAGGAAGGAAGAAAATCAAGGGTCTTAGTAGAAGGAGCATTGAGGCTCATTCTTATATGAAGTTGGTTCATTGGAGAGATCTAGCCTGATGGCGATAGAATAAAATTCCATTCTGAATATTCAGGAGTATTTCTAGAGATATGTTACTCATTTAGAGGACCTCCTGATATACCAAGGGCCTGTATTCCAGTGTCCCAGAGCCCGAGTGGCAGGTATTATTAGTACCGGTATCTAGGTCTAGATTGTAGCTACCAGAGAACTATAGTTTTGATACAGCACAGGGAATGATTTGACTATATTACAAATTAAATTATATACATTTCCATAAAATATAAATGTTGAAAAAGTGAAATTCTAAAGTTAGCCTAAATTATAATATTATCTTTATATGGGCTTTGTGTTCTTATTCCTTTTGATCCTGAAGAAAGAGTAAAGAATATTTTCTTTCCCTAGTGTCCCTGGGTTGGATTTTTAAAATGTTTGTGTATTTATTTTGAGAGAGAGAGAGAGAGAGAATCCCAAGCAGGTTCCATGATGTCAGCATGGAGTCTGATGTGGTGTTTTAACCCATGAAGTCAAGAATTGGATGCTTAGCCAAGTGAGCCACACCAGTGCCCCCTTGGGTTTGATGATTTGAGACCTGGGTATACAGCCTGGCAAGTAGGAAATAATTATATCCTGCTTTAGGATAACAAAGAAGATATTTTTTTCACATTCAAACTAGATGATGCTGATCCCATATCCCACCTGTTACAAGAGTATCTCTCTTCTCTATCTAAGATCTCTCTCTGGTAATAACTGCAACTTCAGGGATGCTTTGTAAGACCAAGTTAGTACAAAGAGTCAGCTCTGGTTATTGTTCTGTTTTTCACTATATTGCTACCATATCAGATCATGAAAACTCAGCTGGTCTTGCCATCCTAATATCTGCCTCGTCTGCTGATGGGCAGTCTGCCTTGAATAGAACAGGTGCCTCAACACTGGGCTGGTAATTCAGTAAAATGGTACAATCTTGGCCTCTCTTGAGGCACTTCCTACTGTAGGACTGAGGTATGGCATATACTTGGGTGTATTAGTTTCCTAGAGCTGCTGTAACAAATGACCACAAGCCACGTAGGTTAGAATAAAATAGACTTACCATCTCAGAGTTCTGAAGGCTAGAAATCTGAAATCAAGTTATTTTTCTTTTAATTTTTAAATTGTTTTATTTCTGAGAGACAGAGAGAGACAGCATGAGCAGGGGTGGGTCAGAGAGAGAGAGGGAGACACAGAATCTGAAACAGACTCCAGGCTCTGAGCTGTCAGCACAGAGCCCGACGCGGGGCTCGAACCCACGAACCGTGAGATCATGACCTGAGCTGAAGTCGGATGCTTAACGGACTGAGCCACCCAGGTGCCCCTGAAATCAAGTTATTGACAGGGCTTGCTCTCTGAAGCCTGTAGGGGAGGATCTTCCTAGCTAAGCATCTTCCTAGCTTCTGGTATTGCTAACAATTATTGCTGTTCCTTGGGATTGTAGACACATCCAATCTCTGCCTCTATCATTGCTTGTAGTCTCCTGCATGTGTGTCTGTGTTCACATTTGCCTTATCTTATAGAAACATTAGTCTTCAGATTGGGCCCACCTCAGTCCAAGATGAATTGACCTTACCCTGATTATCAGCAACTTTATTATTTAACTTTCTTCATAATTTGCATCTGGCTCTATGTTCTGTCCACTGACTTGCACCGTGATTTCAGCTTCACAGAAAAGAACTTCATTGACCTGATGTCCTTCATCTTCCAGACAGTTCAATTCAAAGAGTTTTTTTTCTTTTTCTTTTGGCATGGCATCTTTTATGTCTGCTAATGCAGACTGATATACTCTTCTATGGACACTGAATTAACTTCTTAAGTTCGACACTAGCCTAGCTATATGCCTATAAGAAGTATGGTTATATTCTAAAAGAGTTGAGAAGTTTGAAAATATACTGAAAAAAATCTTATCCCAGTTGAATTGAAGAATTAATTAATTTCTTTAATCATTTAATCTAGTAGTGTCTAATACAATTTTCTGTGAAGATGGTAAAGTTTTATTTCTGCACTGGCCAATTCAATAGCCAGTCCCCACATAGGCTTATTGAGTACTTGAAATGCAGCTGATGTAGCAGAACAACTGAATTTGTAATTTTATTTAATTTTAATTAATTTTCATTTAAATTTAAATAGCAACATGTAATTAGTGGTTACTGGATTGGACAGCACAGATCTACTCCATTCCGTTAACATAAAGGAGTATGTGACAGAACAACACTTAAAACTTCAGGAGCAAATAATCAAATTGAATTCATTTGTTATGGTAAGAACTTTACAGGATCTTAAGAGTTAAAAAAAAGAAAAGATGAACTGGATATGGGAGTCTGACCAAATAATTCTAGGGTAAAATGAGTGAAGTCCATCATCATTTATGTGTTGTTGAAGACTGACATCTTCATTTTTCTAGGTTCAAGCATACTTCAAGTGCTATGGGAAACCTGACAAAGGTGAAAACGTTTAAAGTGTATTTAGCCATGTTTTCTAGAAGCCAGATGAGATCCTGGAGAAGCCAAGAAACTAGCCTTTCTTGATGAGTACCTCAGCCACTTGATAAAACTTCTTCATTCTCGTTTGAAGCTACTGCACTAGTAGAAGATAGATTAAGGTATTATCTTCACATTTTCAAATTGTCTCTTTTAATTTCTCTGAGTCCAATTTAGTGTTTTCTTTAGATAAATTGCTTCATTAGCATTCATGTGCAAAATGCTATCCAGACATTAAAAATATAAGATGTCAAAGTTGAGGTAATGTATCTGATTGGGAGATTATCTTGCTCCTGAACTGGAAATCCAAAGAAAACAAAGAAAGAGAGAGCAGTTAAGCAGAGACATGTTATTGACCCAGGGAGCATGTCCATCATAAAGCCTGGGGAAATATTTTCTTATGCCACACAAAGATGAATTACTTTATGAAGAACTTCAATTAGTTTGATTCAACTTTAAGATGTTAGGGCTTCTGAGTTCCAAATGTTTCTGTAGTTGTCAAGAAATCCTGGCAGAGAAAAGTTTTAATTAAAGATAGCTGAATCTGGAATTAGTATAACTTATGTTTCGATCTCATGGGATAGCTCTGGAGAAGATGTAGGTGTACCGAGGAGACAGGCAAAAAGAAATGAATGAGTTGATAAATAATTTAAAACATAAAGTGTTCTAATACCTAAATGCATATAAACTTATATAGGCACAAACTCCTCAGTCTTTTTCTTTCTGAATTCTGTCCCAAAGACCAAGTAATTTCCAGCTTATATGAATTTGGATGTCCATATATTTACATAATGGCTTTCCAATTATTCCCCCAAATGATTTTTTAAGAATACGCTTGTAAATGAAATCCTCAATTTCCTTAGATAGAAACCAGCTCCTCTGAAATGTAAACTTAGGGTAATGTGCTTTATTAAAACAAAATACTAAGTGTGTGTGTGTTTAGGTGGCTAAGGAGGCCTTACTATCTCTCTCTCCTTTCCTCCCTCATTCCTTTCTTCTTTCATTCTTTCTATCATATTGCATCCTAGATGTTGGTGAAAATTATGAGGATTGACTGAGAAAATATGTTATTTTAATATTTTGCCTTTCAAAATATTAGTGAAATCTACAGTGTCCAAACCAAGCTTGAATAGGAGTGTTGCCTGATTTCTATGGTGAGGTGGGAATCAAATGGTTACAAAACCTACTCCTCCTTTGTTGGCCATCCCTCATACTCATCTAAGACAAGAATGCTTTTGTTTTCATTCTCAGCTTCTCCTTTTATATATCTTATTAAGTCCTTTATTTTGCATAGAGATGAGGAGATGTTTTACTGTTCATATCAGTGTCACTTGCCAGGAAACTGATTTATCATATGTGACACTAGAAAAAATAAAACACTAATTTATATTCATGAAGCCCTCATTTGTGCTTTCTAAACAGATATAATACAATCTGTCTAACCTCCCCAGGATGTTCGAGAGCCTTGTCATTTTGTGACATTTTCTGTCCAGTATAAATAGGAGAAAAATAGCAACTGAAAGGTAAAAATGCTACAAATAAAACGGAATTGAATATCTTTTAGATAAATGAAAATTAGAAGGAATTACTACGTAATGTTTTAGTTCCTAAACTTAATTTTATAATATGTCAGAAGGTGGAATAGAAAACTTTGACTTGAAATTTGAGGATTATCATGACATTTCTCTCATGTACAAAGCGATATTGAAATTGACAAATAAGCAAACAAAAACCAA